GTTCTTATCAATCCTCCTATTTTTAAATACTATATCAATTTTTTTGAGTCGAAAGGATTCCTTTTACTCGTTTCGTAGTATTCTATTTTTTTCTTGCTCCTCCATCCCCAACACGGGGAACTCCACGACTTTGAGCTACAGCAGGACAATCTGTTTAGTTAGAAACTACACCTTGCTTCAAAAGGCATTGGTACTATATTCTTTCCCTGAACTACACCTTTCCCGCGGGCAGCTAACAAAGATTTGGTTCTTTATCTCCTTGTTTGATTACTTGCTTCTTCTTTACTTAGCACTTAAGAATCACCTCTCTCGTCTACAACACCACCTAGGGCAGCGTATTTCCTTTCTCCAGCTTCAGATCTTTCTTATGCTTATTCTTCGGATCCTTTAGCCGAGTCAACAAGGAATGAAATCTCTAATCTTTCTCGCGCCGAGTCAAGGAAACCAGTAAACCAGTAATCGAACTTGCAGCTGACAATCGAACCTCTCTCGCAGATAAACATGCAACGGGATTAGTGGAGCTAGCAAGGGAACCAGCAAGGTAAAGAAAAGGAATGGAACTGGCCGATTTGGATCTACCGCTTTTTAGACACAAGCAAAAGAACCAGTACTATGTTCTTTCCCTGAACTACACAGGCCATTCTCGTCAACAAACTGGTAAATATGGTACAGCCCTTTGCCCGACCGAGCTCACGAGAGTACTTTGGTGGTTTTTCTATTGTATTAGAGCTAGCTTAAAGGTATAAGCCATTGCTTGTTGAAGATGGTGCACGACAACATAGAATGAACTAAACCACTAGAATAGAAGAAACAAGTGAACAAACAGCTTTGCTTCCGCTTCAAAACCTATTCACAGGACACTGAAACTTCCACTTCATATCAACTACACTTGCTGAACCGAAATATGTTGTTGGATACCCGACCTCAATTATCACTTAGTTTTGATCCAGATATAGTTTAATCTTCTACCGATGATCCTTCCACTTTTTGTAGTCCTGTAAGGGAGACTCCTTTTATTTCTCTAAAGGTGGACACGAGGTTAGAGTACTTTTGTGGAATGAGATACTGCACCAAGGAAGCAGCTTAGGGCAATAATAATTCTTTCTATTCGGGGAGATGGTGAGTGACGAAGGAATCTCCGTCCTACTCCTACTGCTAAGCTAAACTCAAACTACGTCGTCTCAGACATCAGGTAAGACTTTAAAACGGTTTAAGTAACTTTGATCCTATAGCTCTTCTACCTCTTTTATCTATTGCTACTGTTTACTCTTTCTTACTTATTCCTTCGTTGCTTTCGGGAAGGGAAGACACTAAGGTCTACACTAAGGAATAAAACTCATTTGAAGTTAACCTCTACTTCGTGCAAAAGAGACTGTCGTTCCATGGAATACTATGAAATGAAACAAAGCCCCACTAGACTATTTACAGGGGCATGACAGCTGAGCCACAGAATATGGGATTAGAACGATATACGACCCCTTCTACGAGCACAATAAAGTGCTTTCTTATCTAAAGATATAGGAAGAATACTTGGGGGTTGATTCTGTGCGCATGGTATACTATGAAAAGAGCTCTTTATCGGCATCTTCAACTGCTAAAGGGAAACTCAACCTGTCTTTTCATTTCTGGCGCTTTCACTGTCCCCGCCGGGATGGTATACTATCCGGTGGCCTCACTTTTTGAGCCTTTTCTTCTGTTTTAACAGTGAATTGGTTACCGGGTACGTCCGGTTCATTCGTCATTACTTTGTGTTTCATCTCTATCCAGGTGCCATCATTTGGAAGGGCTAGTGCATTAAGAACAAGGCAGAGGGTGATAGCTCAGGCTAGGACTGTTATTGCTGTCCCAGTTTATAGGTTCTCTGTGCCCTCTATTGGCTAGACTGGTGGTTTTTCAGATAAGCAGCTGTTCGCGGCCTCATCCACTTGTAGAGCATTTATCGCGATTCCAGTATGAGTTTTTTCGGTAGAGAGCCTGCCTTATTTCCTGTAGATTTAAGAATTTCGGGTTTTTGATTTCCGGATTTCCTTGTATATTGTATGCCCAAAGTCAAAGTCCAAATATTAGTGGTTTGGTCATGGTCAGACTTCCATCAATACTATCGTTTGTAGCGGCATTACTATCGTGTTCTTATGAAATAGGTATGATTTGGGGAAAGGGTACCTCTTAACCCCAACCCTAAGTTAGGACACCTTGGCTCATTCCGTAACAAAAGCTATCCTTCCTAAAAACAAGATTGAGGCATGACTTTATTAATGTAGGCTCTAGCTATTCTCATCTTCTGAAACCTTAGATGATACAAGGCTAGTAGCCTCATTTCATCGATACTATCCGAGGGTAAGCCTAATTGGAGTCTCAGGAAGTAAAGTTATTTTGATAGGCGACTCTGATATATGAGATTGTGATCCCCATTGGAAGTACGACATCGATAGGTGTTGGCAAATTGAATCACTCCCTTACCTTGAGCGATAGACTGACAAATCTCTATATAGGCCCCTTTAGAAAATAGAAAATGGGTAATAGTTACCGCCCCATAGATCCACTGCCATGTAATATGACTCTTTTCGTTTTTCTAGAGTTAGGTCCTACTCCTAATTCCTCTTAGGTGGAAGAGATGCAGGTATCCTTTTCTTTGAATCAAATTGGCTATGCATTCTAGGAGAAATACATTTCTAAGCAAACTTCACTAGTTTTTGAATTCCGTAAAGTAAAGTAAAGTAAAGTATCCTATGGTAGTTGTTCCAGTGCACAAAGATTCTAGTAGTGTAGTTCTCTTGGAATTCATTCAACCGCTTAGGAAAGAAAGCTAGCTACAGATCTGGAAGACCGGATATTCCTTATTAGATTATCAATCCATCTGAACTGAAGGAAAGCGCATACTCTTCACCTGAAGGAAAGCGCATACCCTTCATCGGAGAGTTGGAGTTGTTTCTGTACTAATTGTTTGCATCAAAACCTTTGTAGTTGCTCGTCGTTATAGACAAGTTGTTTCTTGCTCTAGTAGTAGCTTGGCTACTTTCACTTATTAACGCTGCTTGGCCAGGGATTAATGCGAACACGTCTCTCTCGTCCTTTCATTTCTACTTGGTCTAGGAGATTCTAGAGACTAAAGATATAGGGAACTCTAACATATATCCCAAGACATGTATCCATTGCTCCATTGGCATGAATAAAGTTAACCATTTATGCAGATAGGATCTCCTTTCAGGATGAATCCACCATTATTTCAGGTCTGACTGCCAATAATAGAACTCTTCCGTGATGGTCTAAAGCCTTTTTGCCTTTACGGACGACTATCCGTCTTCAACCATCATTACTGTGCTGATAAGGGTAAATCACCTGATTCAAATAGTGCCTTCCTAAGATTTATGATGCTCCTAGACTGAAAGGCAAGTAAGCGATCTATGCCTCTTCGATCTCTTCCCTTGCTCTCCCATTAAGTAAGTTAAGGACCGAGCCAAAGATAAGCCTCAGCCTAGTATACTAAAACCCCCTAGAATGAAAAAGAATTATCCTATATTAAACTTTAGTACTAACCTTAAAAAGTATTCAACCTTAAAAAGAACACAGGAGCCCTAACGACCGTGGACCGAAGCCAATCATTCCTCTACAAAGGGGGCCAGGGTCCTTTTTTACATTAGACATAAACCAATCTTTCCAATATTAACAGCTATGGTTTCCCTTTTTAAGCTTCTTTGGATGGGAAACTTAGCTTTGATCTTTGATTTCTCTGCTCAATGATTTATATGGATTTCTATTGCTCATTCTTTATTGGAAAATTGCTTTTCATTTTATATTAGGGGTCTTGCTTGCTTGCTCTAGCCTGAAGGCCCAGAGAAGGTCCTTTCGTCATAAAGAGAAGAGTTCCTAATTTACAGTTTACAGTGATTTGCTACTAAAGTATAAGAGACAGCTATTCAACAAACAAGATGTAAGCGTCAAAATATACAGAGATAGAGACTTCATCAAAGAAAGAGGAAAAAGCTGTTTAACCAGTTTATTTCTACTGTACATATATATATATATATGTGTATGTATATATATGTATGTATATGTATATATATATATATATATATATATATATATGTATATATGTATATGTATATATGTATATATATATTATATATATATATATATATATATATATATATATATTCATACATGTATATATATATATGTATATATGTACATATATATATATATATACATACATATATACATGTATACATATATATATACATATATACATACATATATATACATACATATATATGTATATATGTATGTATATTTACATGCATACATTTATATATATACATACATATATACATGTATACATATATATATACATATATACATACATATATATGTATATATGTATGTATATTTATGTATGTATATTTATGTATGTATATTTATGTATGTATATTTATGTATGTATATTTATGTATATATATGTATATATGTATGTATGTATGTATGTATGTATATAGATGGTGAATGTGGCTAAGATTGTCATCACCTATGTCAAGCCCGAGGAAAATGGGAGATAATGATAGTGGGAATTAAAGAGAAAAATGATTGGAGAAAAATAAGTAATTATATATGACTAGATTCCTTCATAAGTAGGCATGCTCATGGCATCCCGTATGGTGCACAAACAACAAATTACATATGACTTCCAGCGAAGTGCCAGCGAGTGCCAGCGAGTGCCACAGGCAAGAATAAGAAACACAAAATGTCTTCTTCTAAGAGAGAGCAGGCGGAAGAGATTACATTAATTACACTTGGCCTTTAACCTGTCATTGTGAGACGAGACTGCATGCAGTAAGATTTTTCCGTCCGACCAAACCAATCGAAAAACTCCCCCATGTTTTCGCCAATGTCGCAGATTTGCTGTGCCGAGTATGGGAGGACGGCTAGCGATCCACATATCCACCTACAGCAAGGAAACAAGAAATTAATTAATGTGCACAGAAGCGGTAGAAGCCACATTTGTAGTAGGACAAGGGACGAAACTGTGCCACATTAATTCTTATAGAGCTTTTATAAGGGCGACTATTTATGCAAGCAACAGTATCACTTTATCATCTTGATTAGCCTTTTTAAGGCTCATGTTTAATTATTTGCAACCATGAATGATTGCGCAAGTGGCACAGAACTCAGCAGAACCAAGGATCAAAGACGATAAAGAGTACACAGGCATGCTGACCGCTGAGTACAACCTTCTCAAGTTTATCCGCCCATAAACACAACATTATTGCGTTTAACTAACACCTTTTAATCCCCCGATCCCAGGGTTTGGTTTAGTTTGTTTGTCCGAGAAATGAAGCCAACATTACAAAGATCAATACCAAATTAGCTAGGCAATCATAGCTACAGGAGCCTCAAAAAATAGATGGCGAGGGAACTGTCTTGTATCCGAAACGAAAACCGAATCGTATGTTCCGAGATGCACACTGGCTATTACTCCATTGCAACGCACGTAATAGAACATTTATAGATAAATAATAATGTGGAAACAAGGCTGAGGCAAATATCGAGACTGCAGGGCTGATCTTGGAGTTGGAATACACAATTTGAGTTATGGCCTTTGGAACTTGAAGCAGAATTATAGAAACAACAGAGTAATTCTACCCCATTTAACAATCTCTTAGCATAAGACTAAATCATGAAAAGAAAGCCTCGCTGCTATTAACATCAAAATGCTGGCACTGCATAACAAACAGACGAACTGCAGTGATGAAAAGCTTGGTTATGAATACACACACTATGAAAAAGTCTCATATAATAACAGGCAAAATAGGTGCTTACACTGATTACTAGCATGCAATTCTCAGATGATGCCACGAGAAATATTTTAGTAGGAAAAACATACCAACTTCCCTAGTCTATTAGAGAATCCCTAATTCTTGCTGTATAAACCAATTTCAACTCAAATTATGTAGTATGAAATGAGCAATTTGATAAACCTTTTTTTATGGAAAAAAGAGAAAATTACAAAGTATGCATGTGGTTTTATTTACAAGAGAACTATTTGATTTTTACCTCCAATTGTATAACCTTTTATCTTGCCATATCCAACTGTAGTATAACTAAATTGTAACAAGGTTTTCTACAACCACTTTACATATAAATAAATATATATAATATATATATAATAAATTTCCAAATCTATCAAAGACCACACAAGCAATATCAGTTTAATTCTTCTGAGCATAATCTGTTATCAAAGTGTGCCAATATAATTGCACAAACAACAAACAGTAGTAAACGCGTTTCAAGCGTAAGATAATTCAACCAAGTCCACTTCCTACACAATCTTCTCCAAAATCTTATCCTAATTTTAGAAGTTAAAATTTCAATTTCAAGAAACCTAGAGAGCTTATCATAATGTCAGGCATTTGCATCGTCACCATCTTAGCTGTCCTAACCTTTTTGAGATCCCATCTCCACTTAGCCACCTTTATGGCAGCAACTTGCAGCGAGAAACAAATAGGTGACTCAAAGCAGCTCCCACAAGTAACTAAAATCCCAGAGTGCAGACTCCAAACAGATTCCTGAAGGCTTTAATCTACTTCCAGTCCTTTGACCTGAATTTAGGCTCCATCTCCACAATCATAGATGACTAAAAATCACAATCAAATTAGACAATGCTTGCCATTACTCCACTCATCTAACTCCGAGGAAATAAATATCACCTCTATATAAACGCAGCTGCACTATGTATACAATAACAAGCATAATATACACCACGAAAAAATTATATGCTCCAAACTCACATAACTAATTATGCTAGTATCTATATTTTGATTGATATAGGTCACTTCCAGAACTTATATAAAACTATTAGAATATTTCCAGAACTAATTTTGCTAATAAAAGTCACATAAAACAATTGACTGTCAATTATGCCAGTATCTACATTTTGATTTATAGAGGTCATTTCCAGAACTAATTTTGCTCATAAAATTATTAGAATACTTCCAGAACTTATATAAAAGCTCGGACTGCCAAATGGGCAAACTAGTAAGCATTCCTCAAGTCAGCATGATGGTTCAACCATCCTAAATAGAAAATTTGTGCAACATATTGCAATTATAGATGATTCTGATAGTCAATCATATAAAAATTCAGCAAATTTCTCAGCTCTTAACAATGTAGAAAAATGTGAAGACAGCATTCGAGTTAAAACTCCTCTAAATTTACTTTAGCGCTGCAGCAGTTGACAAGCTCGATTGCAATCATGAACTCTTGGCATCATATACCCTCAACTAGCCTGAATGGATGTTCTAATCAATGACCTTCAACTTGTCTATGACTCCGGTTCTAAGCAAACCAAGTCTTACCGGCTTTTGTAGATGATTGTAATTCTAGGCTGAAATGCATAGATAATTTAGGAAAATTTAGAAGTCTTAGCTACCAAAAATTATCATGGCCTCTAGCATTGAACTCTATTCCTATATTATATGTTTATTTGTTTATTTGTGTCTATTACATCTAGTCCCAGGCAGCATAATCTTAAAAAAATTACAACAATATAGTTATCCCAACTTGTACATAAGATTTGCATGTCTAATAGATATCAAACCCCATCAGACAATGGGACCAAGCATTTAGAATGAATGATTTTGGACCTTAAAACAAACAAATGCAAAGTCAACATCTTTCCCGAAGTACAAGATAACTAGAAAACAATAATTGAAAAGGGAAATGATTTTCGCCAAACTTTATCAGCAACCAGGAGACTGATTAAAGATGAGAAAACATATGTTAGCTAGGTCAAAAAATGAAATAAATACTGTGAAGGAACAGTTTCAATTAGATGGATATAACAGAGAGATCTACAAAAATAAACCAGATGGATATAAAAAGAGGTGCAGAAAAATAGGGAGAGCTAAAAAATCAGAGCTCGTCACTTAATTGTTTTAGCAAATAATTAATATATACCCTAAGACTGGTTACTATGGATCATCCAGCAACTCAATGTGTCCCTAAACATTGTAGCTTAGTCAAGCATGGGTTGGAAAAAGAATCTTAATCTCAGTGATTTAAAAAGCGTTAGGTGCCAAGGTCCAAAAACGCCCGAGACGCTAGGCGCTCGCCCAGGTGCTCGCTCGAGCGAAGCGAGACGCTAAAATATTAAAATATATAATATAATTAATAAATATAATTATTTAATAATATTAAAATTAAAATAATATATTATTAATCTAATAAATACAAATACATTACTGTTACTGTTAGCAGTATACAGTATACTGTTAACAATATACTTTTGAAAGAGGAGAAGGAAGAGGAGTGTAAGGGAAGACCGAGGGTGCAGCGACAACGGTAAAAGTGAGCAGCAACAGCGAGAGCGTGAGCGGCGACAGTCGCAACGGCAGGGACAGCAGGAGCGGGAGCGGGAGAGGCGAGCGACGACAGCGGCAGCGAGCAGCAGCAGCGGGAGCGGGAGCGGCGAGCGGCCACAGCGGCAGCGAGTAGCGGCAACGGGAGCGGCGAGCGACGACAGCGGTAGCGGCAGCAGCAACGAGCAGCGACAGCGTGAACGACGAGCAGGGTTAGGGTTGGGCAGCGGCAACTGATATTGGTGCTTTAGTTGGTTCGATTGAACCAACTAAAGCACCGGAGACCGAACCAGACCTAAAACGCTGGTTCGGTCGCCTGGTTTAACCCAGGCACTCGCCCGAAGCGCCCGGCGCCTGGGCTCGGGCGAGTGCCCAGGCGACGCCTGGAAGTGAAGCGAGGCACTCGGGCCTCGCCTCACCTCGCCCGAGCGCCTAGGCGAGTGCCTGAGCGCCTATTGAAATCACTGCTTAATCTTAAAATCAGGTTGAATTTGGATCAAAATCATGGACAATTCCATATAGACCATATTCTAACATGCTTTTCTCTATAGTAGCCCAACACTATCTCACGCATCCAAAATAATTCTATCCCTTGCAAACTACCAATACCAAACAAAACAAAAACAACTTGGCCAAACTCTACAAAGGTTATACAAGACCAACGCCATCCTGCTAGTCTCTATCACATCATGGCTTGCTTTGAACAACATAAGTTAGTTTACTGCACTAAGGTGACAACAGAATCTCCTTGGCAAGTGACTACTGGTGTTAGTAATAGTTTGTAATTTTGGAACTGCATTTTCGTATATTATAATATGAAAGACTGTCAAGAATTGGATAACATGAACAGACTTTCTTACCATGCTATGTCACATCAGCATTACAATGACATCAGAAGTTTGACCTAAAGCCTAGCAAGCAACTTTAGATAGCTTGAGGATGCAATTAATGGGCTGCTTGATTAACTCGAGTGTAGCAGTGATGGTTGTTTTTGCAAGCTAATTTCACATACATGATTCAGTCAAATGATAGCCACACCTGACACGAATCCATATTTACCGAACAAGTCTGAAGACACTTTTATGAAGCTGTTTCCTCTAAAACAATAGAAAAGAAAGATTGAATGGAAAAAATGAAAATAAAAATGCAATACATACTCAAGCCAACCTCGCCACAAATTGGCTTGCCGGTCCTAAGCAGCAGGAATCTCAGTGGAAGACAATAAAATAACCCTAATGATTGTAAGAAATGAAGCATGTCAAAAAAAGCAGAGTGATTTGTTGGGTGATGTTTGAGTTTACTATGTGAAAAGCTACCAGTATCAGGTTCATTTCAAACATCAGTGGTCCTCTTGGAAAGTTACTTGTCCTGTTTAACTCAAGAATGCTATTAAGAAGTTTAGCCAATGACCGCATGCATGACTGCATAGTCGGATAAGACCAAGTAACAAACATTAATTCATGCCAGACTAAGGTCAGGGCTTGGAAGTCAATCCAAGCGAGTACACACCGAAACAAGGATAAGTTAAAAACTTTCTGTTCACTGAAAAAAATGTGAGTCAAGGTACTTTCGATCTACATTTGTATGTAAACTTAAGTTAAACAATAAGAACAGCTTTCGCTGTAAGAGCGCAGACACAACTTAACATAATCAATAAATCATCATTACCACTCTTGAAATTCTGGCTGCATAAGGGGGCATACTGCACTAAGTCCATCAAAATTTAACTCAGCATTCAAATCAGGCATCATAAGATTTGTCAGACCAACCTGGTCATATCATTTTTATCATACAGAGCAGATCTTATGTAATTTTTATTGTTATGTGGATAGCTAACTTTTGAAATCCTTTGTGGAGTTTCTAATGTTCCTTTTTGCTCTAGCTTCATTTTCATCAGACCTAAATAATGACAATTGTCAATGGAAAATTTGCTATGTCCCAATTATCAAAAGTGGATGAAGGGTTGGGCTATTATACAACGTTGATGTGCTTCATATTAGCAACTTGAACATAAACCTTTCAAGTTCATTTAAAGTTCTTTACATTATTAACTCAATACCCGACAAATTAATGTTATAGTATACCTAGTATAATGCATAGATGAGTAGCCTCATGGATAGCATTAAGGTTTGCAATACACATGTGTAATGCTTGGTATGGATGGTATGTACTGGTCCGATAGGATATTGATATGTGGACCGCCCTCTACCAGGTGGTACCGGTCACTTGACCTCGTATTGAGCGATACGAGGTCTGTATAGGATGGTAATGGTCGAAATATGACTGTTACCGACCTGTACCGGTCGATACGTTCGGATTTCGACTATTACCGATCAAGGGCTGAGACAACATCGAGTCAAAAC